CTCTCCCTTGAAAGAGTATCAAATATATGGAGAGAGATCAAATGTTCTACAAAATCCCTATTGTTATTTGAAAGGGAAGAAAAGACATACCTCAGGCCTTGAATCAAGTACTCCACTAGACATCCCCACATCAATACGCCAAATACTGCAGTTGAATTCGCTGCAGACAATAAAACTCGCATTCAAATAAACGAAATCAATCCCATTTGAGATTCAAAATCAAGTATCATTTACAAAAATAATGAAATTAAGATTCAAGAAACACGATCAAGCTTATTTACCAATTTACTCCAGTAGCCTGTGGAGTGTGACCAACTACCATTGCCTTCGCACCTAGTGCTTGAAGTGTCTGGCCAAGAATAGATTGGGTCTGATAAGAAAGAAGTATTAGATGGTCATAATGTGTCAGTGAAAGAAAATGAATTAACCATATTAATAAGAAATGAACAGCGATGTAACTAAACATAATTAATTATTCTCTGCAGCACGCACAGAAATATATCATATAATTCTGACTATTATTCCCATATAAGGAATCGTTTAATCCAAAAAAATTGATTGGATTCAGAAAAAAAATAATAGCAAAAAAGTGTCAATTTAATCTAAGTTAATAAGATCAACAGAAATTACTGAAAAGAAATGATACCCTCATGCCATGGGCATTAAGGATTGTCTGAAAACACAAAGAAGCAAACTANGTTACAGTTGCTCAAAAGTAGTGATGAAGATCATGCATTCTTCTTACAAGATCCATGTCCTAACGTTTACGGCATAATAGATCCAAATCCTAGGTACACTTCCCAGTCACCAGGCTTTCAGACAGCACGGAAAGTGAACATAAAATTGACTATCAAAATAGAAGAGAACCTGATTAATCTGATATTCTTGCAGATCTGACGTCTCTCTCGAGTATAAACGGCTCCAAACTACACTGTCATACCCTCTGATGGCTAAGGGGATCTGAGGATAATCATCGTCCGTGCAAAGGCCTTTCATCCAATAAGATACTTCTCTGTTCATCCTCTCTATGCCGTACTCAACTGCAGCAGCAGAAAAGCTCCATTAGATACTTACTGCATTTTAAACTAGTCATATTTGAAAGATAGGGTCTAAATCAGAAAAACTTCTGTCGTGAAGCCTAACGAAACAAAGTTGGTCAGATGGGTGAACCCGTCATATTTTTTTAACATAAGAACATATACTTCTCAGAACTGATTAAATTGTTAGTTTATGGTGTTTCAAAAAACTATGACATTACATTGTGACAGTGTGCATTTGTCTGAAACAAGACATACTACTTATAATAGATCATACCGTGATGAGGAAGAAGGCCACCATGGCAAAATATCCAGTCATTAATTTTGAGAACAACTGAATGTTGTGCCAATTCAGATGCCAATGAACCTCCTGGTCTTAGCAGAATTGATCTTGAGATCACTCCTTTCTGCTTCTGTCCTAATAGTCAGATGATCAGATTAGAAAAAGAAATAAGAAATACCACTGTGTGTAGTAACTAGTAACCTACAAAAAGTGGATAAAACTTTCTTTTCTAAATGGACGATAGGGGAATCAGCTTGATAACTATAAAAAAAGAAGGGTGGGGTTGAAGTCAAACCTCTAGAGGCAGGGTAATAAAAAAAGAACACGTACATTTTTGTGAAATCAAGTAATTCGACACTTATATGTGTAATGGCCTCAATAGTTCGTCAAATCAAAGCCATACAGAGCTACCAGAAACAGATCCCATCCAAAAAAATGTAGCTCTACAGGCCAAGAACTTCATTATATGTGTAATGCACGAGATCCAATTGTTCGGTAATGCAAACTAATATATCACAGATCAACTGACTAATAATTATTTCCATTACTGTCACGAACCAATTTCTCATTATCTTTGTTCATGTGCAAACTAATATATCACAGATCAACTGACTAATAATTATTTCCATTACTGTCACGAACCAATTTCTCATTATCTTTGTTCATGTGCAATTAACAGTCTTACCTTCATCACATCCCAAGGATCCCAGTACTTGCGCCGATCTTCTTTCCATCTTTTAGACACTCCAACCCAACCCACAAACGCCTCTTCCCAGTTATGGCCACATACTTCCAAATGTTCCAGGAAGTCAGCACACTCATCAAATCCACCCGAATAAACATATCGAAAATCACCTTCCACATTCATGGTTTCATGATTCCCATTAACCTACAAGTGTGAAACTAAAGGTGAGTGGTCTGTGGTTCGTTGTATATGTACGAGCTACCACTCGCTCCTTTAGTATTTCATGAATTTGAAATGATTTAAATGAGATGAGAACATCATAAACCAACTTATGGAAGAACAAGGTTTATGTTACTGATCTTTTGCAAAGTCTAAATAATGATATTCATGAATTGATAATTGCAAACAATGCAAACAGAAAGCAGACAGCACAGACCTGGAAAACTGCACCTCCATTGACTTTGGCCTGGATACCCAATGACTTCAACAATGACAAAATTGCAACTTCATTTTCACCCCTATCTAAAATATCTCCAAGCTGAACCAATACCTGACCATGAACATTAACAATTCAGTCACAAGGCTTAATAATATTCTTAACCATTCAATTCTGGGGTACAGCTGTGATCGAGAAATGAGATTATATGATTTGCCTCCAAAACAGTGTTTCACAAAAATCTAATCCAATAGCGAAATAAATTCATACCGTTTGTCCACCAACCCATAAATCCTGACCATCAGCACTCAAGACTCCAGCCATCTGAAGAGCATACCTTGCTTTATCAAGATCTCCATGTAAATCCCCAACTGATAATCATAACAACACCATAAGGGGCAAAACAAGAGAACATATATATGAATAGAATATGGTTATATTTAGAGGATTCAAGATGTATGTCGTATCATATAAACACCGCTAGTAACAAAGTACATTCCGTAACTAAATTTGACACTGATAACAAGAAGCACCCTTCATTCACCATCAACAGCTAATCTCTAAACTGTAAGAGTAGCTACATTTAGCTTGCCAAACAACCTACGCAAGCCAAACACAAAAACCCCAGAAAAGTGCACACATTCATAAAATTTGAGACGAAAAAAAAAAAAGAATCTATAACCATTAACCAGAAAGTTGGTTACCGTACCCGCGATGATACGGCGGCCGGGGGCGGAGACAAAAGTCGGCGGATGGCCGTTGACGACGATGGGTTCTAGAGGTCCGCCCGAAGCTCCGACACGGCCGAGGTTGTCCGGAGTTGAAGCTGTAGAGGCGGCGCAGCAGCATACGGCGTCCAAGGTTCTGTGATTCTGCGGGCTCAGACACAGTTTTTGCAGAGGCCATGAACGGCCAAAAGGGAGGGACGCCATAATGATCCTGCGAGTAAACAATTCGTTCAGCGACTCTGTGAAAATCCATTCACCATTTGTGCGTTATCCGACTGGAGAGAGAAGGCCATCCACATGTTTTGCCACGCAGAGTCCATTTGCTTCAGAAAGTTGAATTTTCCACCACGTATATATATTTTTGGGCCAGAAATCACATCTTTGGATGTTTGAAGGAAAAAGCTACTTCATTCATTCAAATATTAGAAGCTAAAATTCTACCGAAAAAAAAAAAATTATATTAGAAGCTAAAATAATAATATTTATTTTTAACTTATAATGTTTTAGTTCAATGTAAGTTAATTTCTTTTAGCACTCTCATGCTTAGAAAAAAAATAAAAATTTAATATTTTAGCTATTGTTTTACTGGATCGAAATCATCGACATGAATCAAACTGGAGCCAACTGTTCACGACCCGGAACCAAGCTGTACGGTTCATGAACTGGAAAAAATAAAATAAATTTAATGTTTGGAGGAAAAAAAATTTATTTTAGATTATAAAGATTATAAGATACAATGTAATATGTAAATTTAATGTGATATAAAATAGTAAAAATAGTTCTTACACACAAGTAGTGTTCAAAAATATGAGTGGATATATAACAGTTTTTATTGAAAGAATGCAATAATAATTTATGTTATTTTGAAATCATGCTAATATTTGGAGAAAAAATAAAATATAAATGAACAGTAGTTTTTAAAACTTTTTACATCACAATGACAAATTCAATGAAAAGAAAAATGGTGGGACGAAATAAAAGATAAATATATTTCATATCCATCTCCCCTTTGGGAATGTAACTACTAGTTATATTATGATACTAGCAATTTTGGTGATGATTATTGATCAATTTTATGCATGCTATCACTAAATTGTTATTCATTCATCATTTCTTACTTGCATGTTCATTTTTATTCACTTAACAATGAATATGTAAGTGCATACATACCAACAAAAATAGTAAAACAACAGTTCAATAAGCAACACTTCATATAACTAACTCAAAATTGGTGATGATCTACAGTTGCGGCCATCCAACCCCTCACATCTAAGAGTTAGATTTTTTTCTTTCTTTTCTTTTTTTTTTTTTTATGTTTTATTATGCATGCAAATGGTTCATTGCCACTTTCAGAAACAAATACTTTTCTGCTTACAATTGAGCTTATTTGCAGCTAAAATCCCTCCTCAAATGGTGAACATTGCCCTCTCTCAAGCCTCATCAGAACTAATCAAGCAAGGAATTGTCATTTGTGGGAATAAACCTAAGTATCTCATCCCTTTGGTATTTTCTATGGCCAAAATCCATTACAATTCTCATTTCCCCTTGTCCTCTTGCAGCTCTCGACTATCGTTCTCCTCACTCGCTTTATCCGTTTTCTCCTCAAGCCCCTTCGGCAGCCTAAGGTTGTCACGGATATCCTCGTGAGTTCTGTTTTTATTTTCTTTTTTTTTTTCGTTCTGTTTTTCGCGTTTTCTTGTTCTTTATATAATGTTGATTTTTCCTATCATTTCTTTTTTTCATTCGCCTTTTCTTGTCGATTTTGGTTTTGTAAGGGTGGCATTATACTCGGGCCGTCTGTATTAGGAAGAAACCACAAGTTCCGTTCATACGTTTTCCCGGATAACGGCTACTATGTGATACAAAACATCGCCATTCTCGGGTTCATGTACTTCCTCTTCTTGTCGGGCGTGAAGATTGACATAAACGTGCCAAAACGAGCCGAGAAAAAGCATTGGTACATTGCCTTTGCCGGGATAATCACCCCACTTTGTAGTAGCTTAGCTATCGCGTTTATCGAGCGAAAGTCTCTCGACAAGGAAACCATGAAAATCTCCTCGATTTGGGGCATTAGCTCGTATTTGGCAATCACATCCTTTCCCGTTCTTTATCCCATCGTGAGCGAGCTCAATTTACTCAGCTCGGGAATCGGTCGAACGGCTCTGTCGACAGCTGTCGTCGGTGACATCATCGGCATGAACGCTTTGGTCGTGTTCGAGGCGTCCAAGCAAGGCGAAAACCGAGCGATTACGGCCTTATGGTTCATGATCTCGTCGATTTTCGTGGTTTTAACATTGATTAGCGGCGTTCGGCAAGCAATGGTTTGGATCGTGAGGTCAACTCCCGAGGGGAAGCCCGTTGACCAAATCTACGTGGTGTCAGTTTTGTTGGGGGTCATGGTGACCGGGTTCGTTTCGGACATGTTTGGGCTCACGATCGTAAACGGGCCCTTGTGGCTCGGGCTGGCTGTGCCGGACGGGCCACCGTTGGGGACGATTCTTGTCGAGAAAAGCGAGGTTATCGTGAAGAAATTTTTCATGCCGTTTTCGTTTATGTACGTGGGCTCGATTATCGACGTGCCTTCCACGAGCGGGCTTTGGGACCAACTTCACCCGTTGCTACTCATCGTTCTCGTGTCGCATGTGATGAAGATAGTTTCGACTTTGATCGCGTCTCGTTTTTTCGACTTGGGTGTGAGGGATAGCTTGACACATAGCTTGATCATGAGCTTGAAGGGTGAGGTTGAGATTTTGTTGTTTCTTCATTTGCTGGATTATAAGGTAACATATACACATCTTCATTTGTTGTTTGGTTTGGCCTCATCAAGATATATTTTTGTGTATTATGTTTTTTCTTTTCGGCAGGTAATCGGAAAGCCGCAGTTCACGGTAATGGTTCTGTCGGCAGTATCGGTAACTGCTTTAGCCACGCCGTTGATAAGCATACTCTACGACCCAACCCGGCCTTACATGGTGAACAAGAGACGAAACATTCAACACAACGCACCAAACACGGCACTTCGCATCGTGGCTTGTCTCCATACCAAAGAAAACCTCGGTGGAGTCTTGAAACTACTCGAAATCTCAAACCCGACGGTCAACAGCCCTTTATCAGTCCACGCCCTTCGCCTAGTGGAGCTTGTCGGCCGCTCGAACCCGACTCTCATCGACCACGAAAAGGACAAAAAGGAACCCGACTCAGGGCCGATCCACAATGCGTTGAGAAATTTCCAGGTGAGCCGGGAAGGGAGCGTGAGGATACATTCGTACACGACCATCACTTCCAAGAAGAGCATGTATCAAGACATATGCGAGCTCGCGCTTTCCAAGAAGGCTTGCCTCGTCGTCTTACCGTACGACGGGTCAACACCGGTCAATGCGAGCGTCCTGGCGAACGCGCCGTGCTCTGTCGCGATCCTCGTGGACAAGAGCCCGCAGCAGAGCCTCGTGGACAAGGGCCCGGCCCGACACGTCGCTGTCTTGTTCCTCGGTGGGCCCGATTGCAGGTACTTCAAAAAAATCGGGTTTTCTCGAAGGT